ACACATGCCCAATGGCAAACTTAAAAAAAATTAAATAGAAAAACTTATTCATTGTGGTTGCCTGTTGAGAACAAAGGTTGTTGAAATGGAATATTTCATTATGAACCCTGCTAAATTGTGTGATTTTCTAGTACATTCATATATTTGGTGGATTATTACTTAAACTTTTGGAAGACTATATTGCAACCAAATGGGTCTTCGGTGGGGATTAGAGAATCATACTTCTAAAAATGAGATTAAAGTTACACTTGAAGTGTTAATTCAAGTGAATAATTTGGCAAGAATCAGGACTCTAAGCTTCAAACAATTCTTATTAGCGAGAGTCTTATTAGAGAGTTTTAATATTTGTCCTGAGGTAACTAGCAAGGTAAACTGTGATCCATGAGGTTAATTTCCGCTACAGAAAAACAAAAGCTACACATTTTGAAGTATGGTTCTAAAATGATAGAGCTGTGAGCACTGGCACACACACACATGTGCATGTGCATCTTATCTCCAGCTTGTCTTACCAAAACTATGGTCAAATATAGGTCATCATCTTTATGAAACCATTTGCCCCTACTGACTGGGACTCATGGTATTCAAAGTTATATTTGAAGGTAACAAAATTCTTTTAATTACCTTTCACTTCAGTACATTCTTGTTCATGGGAAATTTTTGTTGTGTTCTACCACTGGGTTGCATAGGTAACTTTCTGAGGTTTCTCATTTTAATCTGGGGGAGAGGGGAGAGAATAGAAAAAATGGAAGTTGTATGTCTTTCTTAAGGAGAATGAGGGTCACATCTTCTAAATACCGTACAAAAGAAATTGACTACAGTTTGTTTATAATCTGTTGCTAATTTTAGCAACTTGGTTCAAAGATTTTTGAAAGGAGTGAGGAAGAGGTTGGAACAGAGAGTTGAGAAAGCTCTTCTCAGGAGGCAGAGCGAAATATTTAAAACTTGTCAACAAAACACTGCTTGTGGACAGGTATGTCACTGTTCACGTAGGGTGTGTGTAGACTCGGGGCAGCTTTACTAAACTGTGTTATGGGCAGGTGGGTGAGGGGATGATTCTTTTTACTACAATCTAAAAAATTGCATTCTAACTTCGTTGGTAGCAAGCACTAAGAGCTGCTATTATTAATCTGGGTCACCTGCTCTTATAGTAGAGATCTGAATGAGCATCCCCTGAATTGACTTCATACTCTACTAGGAGCATTAAATTATACCTGTGATTAATGTGGTCTGATGGTTGAATAAAACTGAAGCAGAACTGCCTTATTCCAACTTGTCTGTTTTAGTCACGGTACGTGTATCTATTTGCAATGTGGAAATAGGAATTCTTTAAAGGGGACAACCTATTTATTAAAAATAAGATATTTTTGATAATAATAGGCTAGTATCTAAAGAGTACCCTGTATGTGTTTATATTGTTTAAATGAAATAATAGGCCCAAAGCCAACCTCATCAAATAGAAACAATGAGATGTATTGGGGGTAGGATGGGCCAACTCTGTTTAAACAGGTTTTCACATGACTTTTCTTTTTAAAGTGCATGGAATGCATCCAAAACAAATAATATTTTGTTAGATGAGAAGACTAAAAGAAAAATCTTAGAGAAAGGAGGATGGATGATCTTTCTTTAATGTCAAAACTGACATAAACACACTCCCCTTCCCCCACCCTTTTGCTCAAGATAATTTTCTCAACAAGACACAGATTGCTTCAGTCTTTGCCTATCACCCTTTGAAGCACTTTCCGTATTATTGGGAGTGGGGGGCAGGGTTTCCTTTGAGGATTTTTACAGCACTGAAGAGTTCCTCCTTTAAATACTTTCACATGATGAGGGAATTCCGCTTTCAAAGTGCTGTCATCACTGTGGCTTCTTTGCCATAAGACAATTTATTCTTGGGTGAAGGTCCTTCTTAGTTTGATTGTCATTAAAGACTTACCTTTCTGATGGGTTCTCTTTCTATAGAACTTCACTTTTTCTGAAAGACGTAGTAAAGCAACGTAGTATTCTCCTTTGCTAGTCTTATTGGTGAAGTTAGTTAGCCGTGACTCTCTTTTGAATGTATTCCATTACCTGGAGTTAGAGACTTCAACATGGTTGTCTTATTGATGTCCACTAGTCATGATTTGGGTGACTTATTGAATATTTTCTTTTGAAAATTGCATTTCTTCTTCAGTGCAAAGGGCTACTGTGAATTTGGGGGGGCTTTGAAATATTTTTATTACTTTTTTTAGATGTCTCTTCCAGTGTTTAAGACATGTGGTAAACAACAAATAAAATTATTCAAGTATCAACAGTTTTCCAGAAATATGAAAATCTTTAAGAACCTCCCCTCTATTTCACCTTATCTCACCCTGTTCTATTCTTGAACATAGTCCCTAGGAAATTCTGTGGATAGTTCATTGAGGTAGATAGAATACATATCTTTATAGTTTAACAGCTCATTTAAAAGCAGTCTCTCCCTAAAACCTTCACTAGTCAATTATTCACAATTATTAGGAGAGAATTATAATGAAGAAACCTCAAATGTAGTTGACAGTTTTGTTAATATTATTGCCCAAGGGTGAGTTTCCTAGTCTTTCTGATGGTTTCAGATAAATAAATAAATAAATATCTACATTTTAAATGATATTACATCATTTACATCATTACCCTTGAATCTTTCCTTTTTAGTAGAACATTGAAACATTAGAAAAAGAGAGGATGAGTGTTGTTTAGGATATTCATTCTTTATCTGCTTCCACCAAGAGGCCTTAAGTGTAGCAAAGCAACTATCAACTAATCCAGACAAGACAGCAAACACATTTTAAAGTTTTGTTTTTTAAGACTGGGTTTTTTGCTATATTGCCATTCTCTTGCCTCAGCCTCCCAAATAGGACTATAGATATACGCTCTCATGCACAGCTCTTTTTTTTTTTTTAAAGACAGGGTCTTGCAGGACCCAGCAGGTGGTGTAGCAGTTTCGTAGCTGAACTCCCACATGGCTGACCATGGTTCTAATGTGGGACCCAGTGGTTTGAAATTCACTCCGGGAGCACGCGTGTGGATGCCCAAGACTCCAGGAGGAGAATGGAGGAGAAGGGATTGTGGTGTGGCCATCCTTGCTGGGGGGAGTGATTTCTCACTTTCCCTCTCACTGTCTGTGTCTCTGTGGGATGTACACATGCCCTAAGGCAAAAAAACTTTTTAAGAAAAAAAGAAAATATATATATATATATACAAGGTCTCACTATGTTGCCCAGGCCAACTGTAAGTTCACAGTCCTACCTCAGTCTCCTCAAATCACTGGAATTACATATATGCTCGACTGCACCCAGCCTCTGGGTTGAACCAGGAATCAAACCTGAGCCTCCTGTGGGGTCCTGGCCTGGGAAACACAGCTGTCCTAGCAGGGTGCACCACCATGGTTGGGCCACTTTATGGTGAAATGAAAATAACAACAAAAACATCTTCTAAATCTTTTTACCTGTTTACTACCGAACCAAGTGTTCCTTCCTTAAACAGCAATCAAATGAGTTATGGCATGGAAGGTTAAAACTGAAAGTACAGAATATGTTCTTTCTTTTCATAGATAAGTGACTATATTTCAGTGTCTTCAGATATCACCATCCAACCTGTCTTTGCTAGCAATGGGTACTTCTGTCATTGAACAAAGAATACCTAAGTGTGTCATTGTGTATGTCATTGTATAATCATTGTAAAGCAAATACTATAACTTAGAGTATATTCAGGTTCTTTTTAGAATTTAGAAAATTGGAAGAGAAGTTTTCTTAAGAATACTAGTGTGTCTCAGCATGATTAATTTTTGTAAAACATTATAGTCTTAGAAAATTTCTTGGTGATTTGTAGCAATCTTGAGTTCAAATCAAGACATTAGAAAGTATTTAAACTCCTGGTCTTAACTCTAACAGTGATTATGAATGCTATACTCCTGCACAGTGAGGCATGGAGGAACTTAGGAGAGTTTCTTTTAAAAACTTGGCCTAGATTAGTTTGTTTTGTTTGGAACTGGAAATCATATTGTTGAAGTTTGCATTCTGTTTTCTTTCAATAGGTGTATTAATCCAAAGTACCATGTTTTTAAAGGACTTCCTCCTTTCTACAGAAATAAATTTGGCTCCTATAAAGAAAAAAAAAATTGCACCAGCAATTCAGCAACATCACACCTCTTTCATCATTTTGGGGATGCGGGCTTCAGTTCAGTAACTCCAGACATATTTTTTGGAAACATAAAAACATGCCAATAAGTACTGAACATGAAACTTGCTTGCATGCACAAAACATTTGTACAATCTATGGTCCTTTTACCATTAAGTTTCTTAAAATGTGCATATATTTTAAAAGTAATTAGGATAATTAAAAATTGGAACAGAATGTTTGAAAGAAAGCCCTACTGAGAGATTCCTGAGGCATGTCATTCTGTAAATTTCTTCTATGGAGTGAGCAAGCCTCTTGTCCGTGAGATAGATAGAAACTTGGCTTTCCAGAGAACCCCTGCAACAGAAAATTAGATTAAGATGGAGACAATGGAATATTCGTTTTTAAAATATTTTAACCATCTAAAAGAACTCTGAGAAAGTACACTTTCTAAAGTGTTGTGGGATAGTTAAAAAGTTAATAGCCAGGCAGGTGATGGAGTTTTGAAAATATCATAGTGAAGTGGTCATAGTGCTCAGTCCAGGCCCAGTGACTCTGAAGACATGATAAAGTGGTAAGAGAGGTATTTAGGAAAACTATTGACTGGTCTGGGAATGTTGCAAGAGACACAAAACCCTAACACAAATGTAATCTGAATGTGAAGAAAGGGTTAGTCTTAAAATACTCTTGTAAAATATGAATACATTTTCCTTTAGGTTTTTACTTTTCTTTTTTTAGGTTGAAAAACGTTAAGTATGGTTCATAGACTAAAAAGTCCATTATTTGTTTAATATTTCTCTAAAACTACATTCTAACCCAGGCTTTGTATCTTTCCTCTCTGTTTTGGTTCTCATGCCTGCTTTCCCCAGGGTGGCCTTCGTTCCATGATGTGATCAGCTCTGAGGCAATCACATTCACAGACGACTTTTCCTATGGGATGCACAGAGTGGAAACCAGCTGCTCTCAGGTCAGTTTACCTCACCTGAAAACCCGGTAAACTGTTCACTTGGTGGTATAAACCGTTCAGGACTCTTGGCTGTGCTAAATATAGCAACTAAGGTCAAGTGACTGGTCACAAGAGGGACAGAGAAGCACAATAAAGTCATAAAGTCCCAATGCTATCTCAGATCTTCAGGTGTCTAGTAAGTAGAATGAACTGTCAGTCATTGGCTACAGTACTACTAACTGAAATCATGGGAGGAAAAATCACCTTCACTTGACTCAGTATAGTGAGGAATAGGCTATGCTTGGAGTGTATGAAAATTTCATTATGTGGCCTTATGTAACCTGATGTTGTAATAGTTTCTTCTTCCTGTGGTTCAGTCATGGTGCCTCTAATGGCAGTGATCCAAAGACAGGCAACGAAGACACCAGAAGTGGCTTTCCCGGGGTGGGTGTGTGGAGGGAAGTCGGAGAAAGCCCATGTATAGGAAGTACAAGTCCATTGGTAGGCTATATTAGGGCAGAGTGAGAATGAAGTGAGGTTATTCTTTCTTTAACTGTATCATATAAACTTATTCTCATTCCCAAGAACATTCTAATTAGTATTCTTTGCTCTATAGAGACCAAATTAATACTGGGTCTAAGAGAATATGAATGTGTGTTAAGGAAGAGACAAAACAGTTAATTTGTCAACCACAATCAAAAGACTTGACTTTGGGGGTATTTTGCATTTCAACTCAGAGACATAGCTAGAACCTACTTGTATACATATAGAATAAGAACCAAGAACCGCTACATATTGTATGGTGAATCATCCTGGCCTTCTGCCTGTTTTAAATGAGGAAAATGTAAAGTCTGAGTGTTGTGGCGTGGGAATCCATAGATACCCTGACGTGTTGTTGGAGGAGGTCTGCTCACATATTGGAGGTAAAGGGGCACAGTCAGGGGTTGGAACAGCACACTGGTTCCCACACAGGCCTCCCTCAGCATTTGTCTACCTGCCCTTCATCCATTTTTCTTTAACCCTCTTCATCAGGCATAAGATTTTTAGAGTGTAGGTAGCAAATTAACTAAGTAGGGAGGCACATTGGTTTGAACCTAACCATTTGATTAATTTTTGTTTCTATTTCTTTTTTTAAATAAGGCTGGATAATTTTCTGTCTTACAAGTATGAGGTCCACTTTCTGCCTTGAAGCAGGGTTCATGTTTTATCTAAATCACATTTTCATTGCACTTTTATTCCTCAGAAGTGAGTCTTTGAGGAAGACAGCAGAACTTTACAACACTGGGTCTTGAACCACCCACACCGAGGTTCTGATGTAGTCAGACTGGGTACAGCCTGAGCACCACCATGTTTCAAAGCGCCCCTGGTTACACAATAACCTTATGAAGTAGGTGCTGTTATTCCCTGTAACTTCAAAGTTGGGGACACAGTCACAAAAAAGGCAATTAATCTTGGAAAAATTAACCTAGATTTAAGTGGCAGAGATGAGACTTGAATCATTCCATCTGGCTTCACAGCTCTTCTGTGATCAGATATATTGGTATAGATAGATAGATGATAGATAGATAGCCAAGTAGATAGACTGAAAAGAGTCATGCTTGTTTTTAAAAATCTTATAATCTCCAGATGTGGGTCTAATGCCACTTAGTTTTAAAGTCAACTGAATTTTAATTGTTGCTTTTATATTTGCCACAAAGGGAAATTGTAAGTGTCTCCCCAGAATCTAAAATATTTTACAAAAAGATAAGTGAAGCTGGGATGGTACATGATACTAGCTGCAGGGGCATGGTACACAAGGATATCTGATTCTAGGTGAGATGGTACATGGTAATAACAAACTGTAGGGGGGATGGTACATGGTAATAACTATAGGTGAGATAGTGCACAGTAATATCTAACTGTAGGTGGGATGGTACATGGCAATGACTAACTGTAGGTGGGATGTTATATGGCAATGACTAACTGTAGGTAAGATAGTACATGGTACGAACTGTAGGTGGGGATGGTACACAGTCATAACTAACCATAGGTGGGATGGTACATGGTCATAACTAACTGTAGGTGGGATGATTCATGGTCATAACTAACTGTAGGTGGGATGGTACACAGTAGCAACTACAGATCAGATGGTACATGGTAATAGCTGTAGGTCAGATGGTACATGGTCATAACTATAGGTCAGATGACACATGGTAATAACTGCAGTTGGGATGTGGTACACAGTAGCAACTAATTGTAGGTGGGATGGTAAATAGTACTAACTGTAGGTGGGATGGTATATGGTCATAACTAACTGTAGGTGGGATGGTACATCTTAATAACTGTAGGTCAGATGTACATAGTACTAACTGTAGGTGGGATGGTACATGGTAATAACATAGGTCAGATGTACACAGTACTAACTGTAGGTGGGATGGTACATGGTAATAACTGTGGGTCAGATGTACATAGTAATAACTGTAGGTGGGATGGTACATGGTAATAACTGTGGGTAAGATGTACATAGTAATAACTGTAGGGGGGATGGTACATGGTAATAACTGTAGGTCAGATGTACATAGTACTAACTGTAGGTGGGATGGTACATGGTAATAACTGTGGGTAAGATGTACATAGTACTAACTGTAGGGGGGATGATACATGGCATTAACTGTAGGTCAGATGTACATAGTACTAACTGTAGGTGGGATGGTACATGGTGATAACTGTGGGTCAGATGTTCATAGTACTAACTGTAGGGGGGGATGGTACATGGTAATAACTGTAGGTCAGATGTTCATAGTACTAACTGTAGGGGGGATGGTACATGGCATTAACTGGATCAGATGTACACAGTACTAACTGTAGGGGGGATGGAACATGGTGATAACTGTGGGTCAGATGTTCATAGTACTAACTGTAGGGGGGGATGGTACATGGTAATAACTGTAGGTCAGATGTACATAGTACTAACGGTAGGGGGGATGATACATGGCATTAACTGTGGGTCAGATGTACATAGTACTAACTGTAGGTGGGATGGTACATGGTAATAACTGTAGGTCAGATGTACATAGTACTAACTGTAGGGGGGATGATACATGGCATTAACTGTGGGTCAGATGTACATAGTACTAACTGTAGGTGGGATGGTACATGGTAATAACTGTAGGTCAGATGTACATAGTACTAACTGTAGGGGGGATGATACATGGCATTAACTGTAGGTCAGATGTACATAGTACTAACTGTAGGTGGGATGGTACATGGTAATAACTGTGGGTCAGATGTACACAGTAATAACTGTAGATGGGGTGATACATGGCATTAACTGTAGGTAGGACTGTTCACGGTAATAGTTGTATGTGCAATGGTATGCAAAAATCTGTAACTTAGGTACCTCGTACTTAGTAAAGCTCTTTTAAGACCAATAGTTGTTTCTTTAATGTTTTTAAGCTGCCTTAAAAGCTGTTATAAGTGTGACTGCTATTCTCTTTCTCACTCAGAACCCATGTTCCAACATTGAGTCCTGTAAAAACTTCAAAAAGGCACAGAAAATGTGAGACATATAATATTAACTTTCTTTCAGGCCCCACTCTCTAATTTCTTTGTGACTCATTTTTATAATTCATTCGAAACAAACTTTCCTTCTTTCTCTGTGCCAGTCACAAGAGAAGAGATAACATCGGTAGTAGTCAAGAGAAGACCATTATGACGGCGTCCTACAGTGACGAAAAAGAAAGGAGACCCAAAGGCAATGCCAGAATTCGACAACGTTCATAAAAGATGTCAAGCTAAAGCAGGCACAGTTCTTGGCCCTTGGGTAAAGGCCACAGGGATGAACTGTGCTGTTCTTGGGGTCCTTTCCTAACACTCATGCAAAGAACTAAAACTGTCCTATGCCTTTTGACTTCTTTTCACCTTTAGTTCTCATATCTAGACAGTGTTTGTCTTTTTCTTAAGTAAACTCTTAAATCTAAAGGGAAGAGGGGAGGAAATTTGCTTCATTAAGGCATGTATAATAATACAAGCTTTGCTAAGTTAGTTCCATACCATCAGGTTCCAGCAGTAAAGAATGATATTTTTGCTGGACTCTTCCCCACGTGGAAGGAGCAGGGGAGGTCTGCCATCCATGTACAGTACTAGCATGTTAAATAAAATGTGCTGGGGGGTTTTCTTTCAAACTTCTTTGTCTTTAACTTGTGTGTGCTGCTTTGTTTTGTTTTGTTTTTAGTTTATGTCTTTTGAGAGAGCAAGAGAGAGAGAGGACAGTGTGGGAGAGACAAAAAGAGGAGATAGAGAAGTACCCCGAACAGGATCTGCATGGTGCAGTCCACTCCCAGCTTCAGCCAGCCAGGATAAAGGGCATGTGTTCATACCCAGCACACACACAGAGACCTCAGAATGCAAACCTGAAATCTTTCCATGTGTGTCAGCCTCACGGGTGTTTGCTGTGTTACCACTGTGCCACCATGGCTAGCCATAACGTGTGCATTTCACACACACATTTATTTTCCTTTTGTTTTTACAATTTTAATGATTTTTCATGCATCCTTTTGACCTTGAATTGAAAACAAAATGGTAATTTAATGGTTTCTATAGTAGAACAACCACTTGTGTTTTACTTCCAAGTTTCTCATTCTTAGCATTATTTTAATGATCACTTTATTGTCTTTTTTACCTTATTTTTTTTTTCAACTTATGTAGTGTTTTTGCCTGCTCGCTTTTTCCATTTTTCCCTCAGATTTTTATTTGTTCAACTGTTATTGATGAGAATATAGTTTGGGAAACTTCCCTGGTTTGCTTTTTCTCTTTTTAAAAATTTTAAATTCATGTGACTTGTCTTTTCACTGGACTGAATTGCATCGATGTGGTTTGTGTTATGAAGAAACCATTAAGATTCTTTTAGTATCCCATAGAATTCTCAGTTGGATATGTTATGGGACTGTTTCTTTCCTCATGGTAAAGATGAAGCATCTAAATATTAACACTCTTTTACTGTCAACTTCTACAAATAAACTGAGCCTCCATAGATGAAACCA